AAGCAAGTTACCTCAAGCATGAAAGAGAAAATCTAACAAAAGTGATTTTGCCAATCACTCAATTTCTCCTTCATGTGTTTGAATTCTTTAGTAGCTTCATTTGTAAAGGTTGTGAAAAAGGAAAGCTGAGCCTTGATTTTGGAAACTACATTCAAGTCTGCCTCTATATCTGTAGAAAGTTTGCTACGCTATTTTGCTAAGCTTTTTTCTGTTTACTCCATAAAGAGAATCTATTTGTTTGGTTCTGCAAGCTTGGCCTTAAGGTTTGAGACTTTTCTTTTAGACCTTGGAGTTGTTTAACATGTGGCATTGGTGGTTGGGGTTTACATGTAATTTATTTAACTATAACCACTTGAATTTAGTTTGATAAAATCAAGTGTTGGGGGGCATTGTTTACACCACAAATTGCATTTTTAAAGTGATGCCCCGTGTTAATGGATAAGGTGAGATAAGATTTATTGAAGGGATGCATATCTATAAAAATTAGTTGGGAGGATAAAGATTATCTAGTTTGTTGTAGTTTGAATTCAAAAGAAATAGGAGTCCTTAGAATTTGGGAGGAAGTTCAGTTGAGGAGTTATCTGTGATCTGAACAACTAGCAAGTGAAGCGGGGAGGCAATTCATAGGAAGTTTATAAATAGAAGCTTTTTGATTTTTTCAGCACACGGTCAGCCCTACACAAAACTCATCAAATTTTCAATTCTCTATTTTCGTTAGTGATTGCTCACCTTAGCTTTCATATTTTAGTTTTAGAACATATCCTAGTAGATTTAGGTTGTTTTCAGCATTGAAGTACCTAAATTAGTTTGTGTAATTATTTCTTTGATTTCCTTTCATGCAATAAACATCAAGTTTATTCATTCAGTTCATTTTGGATCTATTAACTTAAATTCAAGGTAGTGGTAAAGTCCTTGAGATTGTTCGAGGTAGATTAGCAACCAATTATGCAGGAAGGCATCCCTCCCTCTTGCAAATCATCTGAAGGGCGCAAAATTTAATCTTAAACCAACATTCTTCCAACCATCCTAACGAAAGTTAACCGCGTGGAAGGAGATAGTCGTTGAAAAATCCTTTCTTCTTGCTTTTTAAAAAAGTAAGTGACACCTCTAGATTTCGCACGTACGAAGTTATTTGAAGATTTTTTAGAAAACATAAGGGTGTTTGGTTTTTGCAAATTCACAATACTTAAAAGAGAGCTAATTAAGTAATAACCTCCCACTGGCAAAAGCATTACCACTAATTCCCCCATTACACTCCACCTTATTTGCTCAGAAAATATTGAATGCTCATCATAATAATTAATTAATTATAATTCAACTTCACCTAAAGCTTTCTAATTATTCTTCTTCCCTGAAGAGGAAACACACAGACTTCAGTGATTTACGTACCGAATCCCAGCTGTGTCACAAAATTGAGATGCTTGAAATGTGTTATACGTTTCCTTTCGGACCGTCAAATTAATGTATGGTGTACCCCGTTGTTTGTTTCTTCATGTATTTGATGGTTGCATTCAATTAAGAAGACTAGACAAAAGGAGCAAATATTAAGTCCTACGCAAAAGCCTTAACAAAGATGAAGATATTTTACAAACTATATTTGAATAAACGTAAATATGAGTATTTTAAAATATATAATATCGAAGGAACAACATAAATGTCAACAAACAACATCACCTCCTCATATATATTTTTTTATCTATCTCAATATTTGAATTTAAAATTTTTAAACTTAAGATCTCAAGTTTTTATCAATTAATTATAAGATATCCCTTCTGAGGCAGCTAGCATCGTTTGAATGACGAATTATACTAAATCTATGTCTCCACTACACACAATATTGAACAACAACGGCTGCCACTCAAGAAAAATTGAAGAATATTATAGATGAAATTATATTATACAAGGAATTCAGCATGGAATATAGAGAAAGATAAGAAGTTTCCAATTTTGGCAACCCACTCTCTCCATTTTCCAATTGAAGAAAGAACAAATGAATCTCTTTATTTTGAAATGACCCTTACCCAGCGGCAGTCATTATATGCGGCACACGTTAATTAATTAGGATGGGTGGAGAGACCGAAAGAGTACCTTTATACCCCACATTCTTCTTTATATTATATAAAAATCACTAAAATTGGTAATCATGATTAAAGGGAAGGATGAGATAAGGAAGGTACTTAGGGCTAGTTTGGTTAGAGTGTAATTTTACTGGAAAAAAAAAAAAAGTTGATACTTAGAGAGTTATTGAAAAATATATATATATATATATAGCACAAAAAGATAATAAGTTTTGTAATAAAATTTTATTAAATTTTGTTAGGTAGTTAATTCTTTTACATTTGGTAAGAAATTGGCATATGGAAAGCTCTTAACTGAGTCGCATATAGGAAAAGTTGGAGGAAATATTTTTTACTTCAAAAGGCATGGAGAAAAAGGTTTACTAATTGGGAATTATATCAAGAAAAATAAAAGTTAAAATGATAATATTATAGTTATAACATCACATAAGATTGTAAACTTACAATCATGATTTATAATCATGATATGGGTTTAAATAAATATAACGTAATATTAAATTAAATTAGTGAATGTATACAATATTATAAGAAAACTTTTGAATGAAAAAAATCAATTATATAACAGTATATCATATTGTAAGCTTATAATATCAGTTAACATTGTAACTATAGTATTTTTGAAGCTAAATGTATCACTTTTACCCTTCTTTTTGTTGTAATATTAAGGCATAAAAATATGTAAATAACCCTAAAAAATTTAAAAATAGGAGAAAATTGAGGAGGAATTTTCCTCCCAAACGAAACACACTCTAATAGTATGTTTGGGTTGAGGGGAATCGAGGGAAAGGGAAGGGGAAGGGAGGGGAGGAGAATTTTAAATAAGTAAATAATTAAATTAGGAGAAAAAATAAATTAAAGGGAAATTTTCCACTCCCTTCTCCTCCCCTCTAATTTTTTTGATAATCAAATAAAGAAAATTTTTCCTTCCCTTCCCCTCCATTCCCCACAACCCAAACATACTATAAAAGAATGAGCAAGTACATAACAATTTATGCACATTTGGTGAGTAAAAATCCCCTAATTAAGGGACATTCCAATAGTTAAGATCTTGAATTTTCATAGTGATCGAAGTTCTCAAATTTGAATCCTAAAATAAATAGGATGAGGTTTAAGAAGAGAAAAACTATATTTTGTTATATAACCTATTATTTTATGTAAAAAAATTTATCTAGCAAGTAAAAATACTATCACAATTACCATTACATATGATTGATTATGATGATGTTCTATTGTGAGATGTTGGCCTTTGAAAAATTGGATTTTTCATAATAAAAACAGAAGGCTGTGAGTCTCCCCTAATAATATGTTTG